TTCTAAACATAGGCACTTATATGCAGTTTGTCCTATATTTGCAAATAAAAAAGTTTTATTACAAGGCCAATCCTTTTCTTGTACAAGAAAGACAAGTTTGTCATAAAGCTACAGTGAAAAAATAATCCTTTAAAGATAAAATTAAATTATTTTATTCAGCTACACAGTATTTCCTAAGGATTATTGTATTTTGGATCAGCTATAATTCTAAATAGATGTTAGAGAAATGAACCAAAGGAAACCAGGCAGCTATTTCAGTATTAAAATAGCAATCATCAAACTTGTGATAAAACAATAATTTTCAAGTTACCAGAAACCCATAGCAAACACATACACACATACTTGTACAAATGCAGTAATCAGGCACAGTTCCTTAAAAGGTAGATTTCCTAGCACCAGGGCATAACTAAAGAAAATGCAGAATTTCCAAAGCTCTCGGAAAATGTCCTCACTAGGATCACCGAAGAGGTAGCTCCCACCGCATCTTGATCAGAGTGTTGCAGAGATCATAAGACCCAGCCTTTGCAGGCAAGAGTTGTCATTCAGAGCATTTCCCAATTCCAGACAACCTCTGCTGTATTCCCTGACATTCTTCCAGAAAAGCACTATAAACAAATACTAATTACCCTTGTTGCTGCACATGGAGAATAGAGGCACATTTTGCTGCTGGAGCAGCCCATTTTCCAGCTTCTGTCTCCAACTCCCCCCACCTCCCGCACTGTCAGAGAAGTGCACAGGTGGCCACGCCACCCACCAGTCGGGTCTGTCTACATTCAAAGCTCTACCAGGAGGCGCGCCATTGGCCCTGCAGGTTACCGTATGCCTCAGACTCCTCTGTCCCCACAGAAGCTGATACTGCAGCTTCTGCCTTTGGCACAAGCAGCCTGCGAGTACTTAAAGCCACAGCCCTTCATTTATGAAAAACGAGAGGCAGACTTGAGACTGATCGATTGCCACTTAGTTAAATATCAGCTGGTAGGGTGGAAAGAAAGACTGGTGCTCTCCACGTGGATAATGGAGTTATTTTTAGATTTGTGAGCCTTTTCACTCCCCTCTCTAATTGAGGTCATTAGATTATCACAATTACTAATAGAAAAGAAAAAGTTTTATTCAAAACCCATATACTAAATGAGGTTATGAACTAGGTGAAGGGCAGTAAAAGGGGCATGTTATGACTTCAGCTTTTAAGTGACATTATACAATGAATGGAGTTTCTCCCAAAATTTATTTGAATGCTTAGACTATGGTCTATAGGAGTTTTAAAAACAGTCTGAAGTGCTGATTTCAGAGTTGGAGATTATTTAACTTTTACTTTGTACTAGTCTCTCACTAAACACCAGCACTGTCACGTGGACAGTTAACAGGGACTAGAATTTGAGAAACACTTTTTTCACTGAGTATGTTTTGGCCTTAATGGTATCCTAAACACTTGTTTTAGAAACATGGTATTAAGTTGTTCTGAAATCATAAATCAGTGACTCCAAATTTAAAAAATTAACAAGTAATTGGTGTCCTAATGTAGAAATTACAATTTGAGGCAAATCAGTCTGTATAATGGAAGAAAAAATAAAAATAAATATATGTGTCTATTAATGTCAAAAATTTTAGCCCCAAACATGCACTCAACATTCCTGTCCTCAGTAGCCACTGACACCTTCCAACCTCTGTCAATCCCAGTTAACAGCACCAGAAAACCCTGAGGCCGTCTTTCCCTTTTTGTCTAAACGGGTTGTGCAAAAGTCAGTCAGTTCTTCCTTCGTAACGTGTCTCAGATCCGTGGCACTTTTCTTATTAGTGCCATCTCCACACTAGTCCTGATCCTCACCAACCCATTCCTGGACCATCAAAGGCATCTCTTCACTTTTCGGAGGGCTTATTCCTTTGTACGCATAAACTCCTTGGCTCAAAAGGAGCCTCGCTTTGAGTGCATTTAAATAAATAAAAATTTAAAAACTTCACTGTAGTTCCCCAGACCTGAATCATTGTGCTCCTGTTTGACTTCCAGACTCTCTTCTAAGTCACTTGTGCCTGCCTATCCCACCTCCACGCTCTTGTCAATGCCATCCTCTCTGGGATGCCTAGCCTTCTTCACCTGACCTTCTCGAAATACTAAATGTCAATCGCAGACACCATCCCCCTCCCCCAGATGCCTAGAAAGCACATTTATCCTTCTGAATTGGTTGGCAAGTTATTACTTAGTACCAATTTAAACACAAAAGAAACTTAAGACCTGGTCCCTGCCTTCAAGGAGCTTGGGACCTGGGCAGAAATAAAATGTCCAGGCCCAAGTCTTTGGTCTTCTGTCAAAGCAGATGACCTCATGTGAGGGGAAGTAGTACAGGAAAATGGAAAAACCGAGGCCTTTAATTATGATCCTTATGTCAAATGCCAACCACAATGCCCATACCTTAACAGACACATACTACGTATTGGTTTTGTTTCCGCCCAACCCTGCGTGTGTGTATATGTGTGTAGATTGCCCTTTAAATGTACATGCCCTTTACTTGTAGATGACAAAATGCATATTGTCACTTAGATACTTATTTTCTGTTTTTTTTTATTCAGTTGCTCCTAGATCAGTATTTCTGTCTTAGAAGATAAACTCATTATAGTTCAGATACCAAGTTTATTTAATTTTCTTTGTATTGTAACATGCAGAATTCCCCACACAATGTGAAAAAAGATAAAAGTGGGAATCTGGATAAAAAGATGCTTTTATATTCATGCATTAAATACATGAAGAGCTCCAAGAAAAAAATGGATTCACCATAATTTAATTAGAAGTCCCTGGAACACAGGCACTTAGTCGCTGGCTGTCATCCCATCAGTGTGTCTGCATTTTGCTAGCTGCTGGAAAGCATCAACAGCACAGGGGACATTACAGAAAAGAACTGCAGCAGACAGCACAGACGTGTGCTATGTCTGACCTTCTCCCCGTCACCTCACGGTGCACCTGCTCAACGTCCACTTGTATTTACTTGTTCTAAGTCAATTTTACTTACGGTAGACTGCTAGTATCATTCAAAATTAACCTTTGTTTATGTTCTTCTTCAGGGTAGAGTGGAAAAGTTGTAGTTATTAAATAGAAGGATAAATGATAGTTCCAGGATTCTATATAATTAATCATTTTTACCCCAGATCTAATGCTTCAAATCCATTTAGAAAAGGTTACCAATAACAAGATACCTATATGCACACACATATATTTGATATTTACACTTACACATATATAAAAATACATATACATACAACATGCGTGTATGTGCATGCGCACACACTTCTGTAATGGGTATGAAATAACAAAAAGGTTAAGGGAATTTTATTTTTTTTAATTGCTTAACTTTCCCCCTTGTTATGCCTTTCCTTTCCAACTATTTTATAACACTACCCCGTACATATTAGGCAATCAGCAAATATTTGCTGATTAATTATAAAATAAAGAGACACGGCAAAGAACATTGACTTGAAGACTTTATGTTCATCTTACATCTGGGTCCCATCCTCTCATTCTTTCATTTGTTCACTCAGGCACTGTGTGTCTATCACAGCTGCTGGAGATGGTGTCATAAGAAAGAACTAGACACAGATCCTGCTTTCAGTGAACCTCCTACCTTAAAAAGTAAAAATAAGCACTAAATGCATATCTCTAACATAAAGTGGAGAATAAAAGAGAGGAATAAATGCTCCTGGAATCCAGAGGGCAAACTGAACATAGAGATAGAAGGCCGAGAAAACTTTTCATTAAAGAGGGGTTTTGAGCTGTATTAAATGGAGTCACAATTATGTAGGTGTTAGGACCTAAATTTAAGTGTAGAGTGAAATCTAAACAGTATACATGTCCGTGAAACTCATTAAGCATTTGCCATGTTGTGAACTGAGAAAGCATCTTTCAGTATATCCAACCCAGTGAATTTCTCCTCTAGTGTTGGGTCTATTCTTTCTCCACCTGAGCACCTGATAAAGTATCTGCCTTGCGTTTAGGGGCCAGGTCATATGGGGAAAAAGGTACCTTTAAATACTAGGATTGCACAGAGTGTAGAATATTCATACCACAAGAGGTATTTAGGGTCTGGGAGGACACCTGAAGAAGAGGAGATGCCTGTCTTTCATCTTGAATCTACTCCTGGGCCTTAGCTCACTGAGGGGCATGGAAGGAAGGAATGCCTCCTTTATTTAATTTGCATTTTTTTTTTTAAACTTTGGTTGTTGGTATAATGAATCCATGTAAATTAAATGCAGGTAGTGATGTGATGCTTCTGTAGGAAAGACCTGAATATGCAGGTATTAGGGGGAAGGGCAGTAGCCCAGTAATAGTATTTGAACAAGGAATGAAAAAAGTACAGAAAGCATATAGGAAATTTTGAGTTCACAGTGTCCTAGACCTGGGCTCAAGTCCTGATCCTCCTCTTGTTAGCTGATGGGCAAGTTACTTAACAACTCTATTCCTCGACTTTCTCAGTTGTGAATCCCAACTCATTGTGGCTTTGGTAAGGATTTAATAAGGTAAGAAAGAATATCTGGTACTTAGTAAATATTCAGCAAATGTAAAGTCCCTCTTGCCTTTCCTCCATCTCTTTCATATACTGCTGGAGCATTTGGGCAGTCAGGGGACCAGTAAGAAGGGCAGCTGCTGCCAAATAACAGAGAGCCTTATATTCCAGGCTATAAACCAGAGTCGTCCAAAAGAAATATAATGTGAGTCATGCATCTAATTGTAAATTTTCTAGTAGCCACATGAAAAAAAAGTTTTAAAATGACGGTTAATTTTAATAATATATTTTATTTAACCCAAATCTACAAAATATCATTTCAATATAGTCAGTATAAAAATTGTTAGAGATATTTTATGTCTTTTTTTTCCCATTCTAAGTCTTCAAGATCCGTGTGCATTTTATACGTAGCACACACCTCAATTCAGACCGATTACATCTGAAATGCTCAGCAGCCTCCTAAGGCTAGTGGCTACCATATTGGACAGAGCAGATGTACACATGGAGAACCACTGCAGGTTTTCATCGGCAGAATGGAATGCTTTGGAAAAATAAGGCTGTTGGCAGTGCTTGGGATGGGTCATAGTGGAGAAAGAATGCCAGCCTGAAGACCGGCTAAGGAGATGCTATCGTAATCTAGTGAAGGACAGCCTCAGTGGCAAAGACAGATGAGTCAGAGAAACACTGTGGGCTGAGAGGTCACAGGACTCGATGACTGGCCTCATGTGGGAAATAAAGGAGAGAAAAGAGTTGAAGACAGGGCTGTTAGGTTGGATATAGCACAACAAAATAATTGGTTTGTCTCTAAATAGAAAAACTAATTGTTCCCTCCATTTGATATTATGTGGTTTTTAATTTAGTTTACTTTGTTACGCAAACCAACTCTTGAGTTCTTTTCTTCCATATTAAAGAGAAACAAAAATACTACATACTACTGTAGCTAAAAAACTATTTCCATCTCCCCCTCAAAAAATATATATTTATGGACAAAGCTGTAAAATATTCATCAAATATTGAACTAAACTATCTACTAGCCTGATAGCTTCTCAAAGACACGGACCAAGTCTCATTCACCACGGTCTCCCCTCCCTAAGCAGGCAACCACATTGCAGTGGCCTCTGTATAAAATCAATATAGGTTTGTTGGCTTGAACCGAACTGCAGAACAACCAAACTGAACAGTTTTCTTCATTTGAGATGTTGTGCATGTCCACCTTTAAAAGAGTGATTAAAAAATACCTAGGGCTGGCCGGTTAGATGTCAACTTGAGTGGGGTGCTGATAACACCAAGGTATAGGGTTCAATCCCTGTACCAACCAGCTGCCAAAAAAAAAAAAAAAAAAAATGCCTCTCAGTATCTCTCTCTCTC